GGGCTCTATAAACCCCCCTGGGCTAGGGTGGAGGTGAGGGGTTGGGGCATTCTATAACACCTCCCATTCTGGGGTGGAAGTGAGGGGTTGGGGGGGAGGTCTCTATAACCCTCTTTTGGGGCAGGAGAGATGCTAAGACTGTATTTCCCCCACCCCCAGGTTAGGGAACTGTATAATCCTCCAGATTTGGGGAGAGGAGAGAAGAGGTGTTTGGTGGGGGTGGAACTGTGTAGCCCCCAGGACTGAAAGAGGTTTTGGAGGAAGGGGGAACTCTGTAGTTCACTGGTCTGGGGAGAAGGAAGAGGAGTGGATTTCAAAGGAAAGGAGTATATAACACCACCAACCTGACCCCCCTGGGCTACAAGGGAAGAGGAGTGTGGGCAGGGTATTATACAGAGCTGAGTGATTGTGAATAATAGATTTTTAGGGGGGGTGGTTGGGGGGCCTAACAGAAAAATCCAAACAACATTTGGTTCAGTTTGAACTGAAAATGGATGTTTTTTTTCACCAAACCTCTCATGGAGGGTAGGTCCATCAGTGGCCATTAGCCAGGATGGGCAGGGATGGTGTCCCTAGCCTCTGTTTGCCAGAAGCTAGAAATGGACGACAGGATGGATCACTTGATGATTACCTGTTCTGTTCATTTCTTCTGACACACTTGGCATTGGCCGCTGTCAGAAGACAGGTCCATCTAGCCAAGTATTCTTTCTTATGTTCTTAACCAAGCCAAAAATAAGTTTCAAGTCAAACAAAATGTTTAGTTTGACCTGGAATGAATGTTTTTAGTTTTGGTCTCAGGTAATTTTCAGTTTGGTTTGGGATTTTTTTTGTTTCATTTTGTATCAGTTGTCTTTTCAAAGAATGCTACTCTGGAGGTCCTGGACTTCAATCTCTTACCTAGAAGCCTAAATTTGGCCTCCAGAACCTCTCGCCTGCCTTTCCCTATGTCATTGGTACCTACATGTACCATGATCACCAGCGCCTCCCCAGCACTACACATATGCATGTCCTAGATGTCTTGAGAGATCCTCAACCTTTGTACCTGGCAGGCAATTGCCCGTGCAGTTCTAGTCTGGTATCCATCCTACAACAGTGATCTATCCCAGATGCTTCTAAGAGAGCTGACTCTTCACCTGCCTCGTATTCTCCCCAAAATAATGCATATCTGCACTTATGCAATTGTGTATCTTGGAGTAGGGAAAAAATTTCCCACCCCAGCTGGTGAGCATCTTATGTCCTGAACTGTGAGCAGTAGTCCTTGTAATTTTTTATCAAGTCATGAATTAGCCCCCATGTAATTGTGTAATTTATAGCATTGCTAATTTGATTTAAAATATCCTATAGTCTGTGTTTGGACAGATGAGTCACATATGCTGCTTCTATTAGTGTCTATACTGGGTTCACATGTAATGTCTTGCTTTAAAAAATGTGCCCCTCCTGGGCCAAAATATGATGATTTATTGTCCTTTGCAATAAATAATAAAGCTCAGATGTTCTTCATGGTGACTCCTATGCAACTGAAATGCCCATGTTGGGGTTTAAATATTGTGTTTGGATAATATGCAATGGACTTAAATTACAGCAAGGGAGGTTTAGGTTGGACATTAGGAAAAACTTCCTAACTGTCAGGGTAGTTAAGCACTGAAATAAATTGCCTAGGGAGATTGTGAAATCGCCGTCATTGGCAATTTTTAAAAGCAGGTTAGACAAACACTTGTCATGGATGGTCTTGATAATACTTAGTCCTGCCTCAGTGCAAGTAACTGGACTAGAAGACTGCTCGTGGTCCCTTCCAGTCCTACGATTCTATGCATTAGTCTCTTGAATCCTGCATGTGTCTCTTTTGTGTACTGTGGCTCTGCACAGCCTGACAATCATGTAATTTGCATAGTGATCTGTGCCAAGGCACTCAGCCTTGTGTGGCCATTGGGTAGAGTGCTTCATCACTCCCTGTTAGGTAAGAGTAGAGCATGTCCCCTTAAGATGTTATGTGATGTGTGTATGAAATGGATTAAACTGGGGTAGGCAACCTATGGAGCTGATTTTCAGTGGCACTTACACTGCCCGGTCCTGGCCACCGGTCTGGGGGGGCTCTGCATTTTAATTTAATTTTAAATGAAGCTTCTTATACATTTTAAAAACCTTATTTACTTTATCATTTAATTTATCATTGAGAAATTTAACTACATTCCAGAACATTGAGGTTCCAAGATCAGCTTCCATTCTCTGTAATGGCAAAAAGGGCACTTTGAATATAGAGCATAACATTTATGTTTTTAAATCCAGAAATCACTTATAAAATCCCCAAATCTTTGTTTGTAGTACCTGTTTCTTCAGAATTTACTAAAGCACCTATGCTCTCCTTGACTATACTAGGCCCATTTGACTCCGAGAGATTCATGGAATAGTGATGCTTTCTAGCAAGTGCACACTGGGCATAGCTTTGAAAATATCTTTTGTTGTTGTGTTGTTACATTCCCAGTGTATCAAACTGGATCCTTTAGGCTCCACTTCTTTCAGCTTAACCCAAAGAGAGAAATTGCTGGAAGGTATTGTCATAGCATTAACTTCTCTCTAAAATTATTTTACTAAATTCTGTGTGTGAAACACCCCAGTAAACACACACTTTAAGTCTTGATATTAGAAATCCAATACAATCCCTTCAGCCAGAGTAAAATGCAATAGATGCATTTGAAAGCCTGTTTTCTTTGTTTAAAAATTGAACTTGTGCAGACACCAGATAGTGTATGTCTTCCTTTCAAGGACCTGCGTTATTGTTACCACTCAAGAAAGGGATCTTGGAGTCATCATGGATAGTTCTCTGAAAACATCACCTCAGTATGCAGCAGCAGTCAAAAAAGCTAACAGAATGTGAGAAACCATTAGGAAGGGGATAGATATTACTTTCTTTCTGGGTAGTAATAATCCCTTGCCTGAATTGTTTCTGATATTTTCCCTCCTAGTGTACTCATTTGAGGACCAGAATAGCACCTCATAAAGCAGCAGAGTTAATACCGTTCCCTAAAAATCTGCTCTGTAATCTTGTTTATATAGATCTTTCTTTAACTAAATTAGGTTTGACTTGACATTAAACTTCCATTGGTATTTCACAGGAGCCCTCTGAATGAAGATGTTTTTGCTGCAAGAAGCAAAGAGATGAGCAGTGTCAATAAAGAGATAAGAGAATTGCAAGGACAAATATACAAGCTTCTCCTGCAGGTAAAGAGGATGAAGGAAAATCTGAAAGTCTCACAAAATAATGAAGATTCTTCACTTACATCTCTGGAGTCACTTGAAATTTTGTGTTGCTAACTGCATTATCTCTTTTTACTGTTACCTCTAAGACAATTAATTCTGCCTTTCTTACAGCCAGTTCATAGCAATGATTCTAGTGGTTATGGAAGTCTTGGTAGCAATGGGTCTTACAAACATTATATCAGCATAGCGTCCTCTAGTGACTCCAATGTGAATTGTGCTGAGGAAATACAACAGAACTAGTAAGTTTATCAATATGACATTGCCCAGGTAACAATAGAAATATAATAATAAAACTGAAAATTCTCACTGCAGACGTACTCCATGCATTGTGAAATTATATTGAAGTGGGAAGATACAACAAGGCAAATCAAGTGCTTGAGTTAAATATACTTGGATTGGTCAAACATACAAAATTTTTAAATTGCCAGAGTAGGCATTTACCTGACTGGAATTGTCAGATACCTCAAACAAAGTTATCATGTGAAGTAAATTACAGACATATAATGATATATAGTGACTTGTTTCAGAGAACTGGCAGACTTGACAAAATAATGGGGAAACCATGTTAAAAAGAAATGGCATCTAGGGTTAAAAGAAATGTGCAGGGTCCCCCTATCAGAATACATATGTGAACAGACATTCTGTGAATACAAATTTTAAATATAGTTTCCTCCTAAACAATATCCTGGGTAAGTCATTAACTTGTTCTACCCTTTCATCTCTGAAGGCTTATATCAATTCAAGAAAATTATTCAAAGGCAGAGGTTGTAGACTTTACCATAGTGAATCTGAGTGATAAAAGTCAAGACACGCCAAGCTCAGGCTGACAAGTCCATCCCTCTATGCTAGGTTGAATTGAGGTACCTTAGCACATTATTGTGCTTATGTTTTCCTGTGTTTACTCATGTTTCCTCAGTCTGACTCCTGTAATTTTCTCACACCCCCCAGATGACATTGCAGCAGGTCTGTGCCAATGTGAACTGAATAAAGAATCTGGGTCAACAGCTGCATACTAAATCACAGAGCAGAAAGGATCCAGTCCTGGATACTGTACTGCAGGGAGGTGAGTTAATAGAATCCTGATCCCTAGATGAAGTGTGAATTCCCCATGATCTGTAGTCCTGCCTTTTAGACTTGAGTGGCATACTGGTTCTGACAGCTTTGTGTTAGAAATTCTTACATCATGTAAAATAGATCTAAGTGTTTGCTGTTCTAACCCATTTTACTGGAGAAGCAGTCTATGGTTATCAAACTCTTGTATTGCAGTAGTGCACAGAGTCCCTGATCAGGACCCTTTTGTGCATAGGCACTGTGCAAATACGTAAGAAAACATGGTCCCTACCCCAAAGAGCTTACAATCTAAGATTAAAATCCTCTACTAAAATGTTTAGGAATTTGAAGTCCTGTTTCATTACTAAAGTTAAATTAAACTTCTAGGTGTGTTGACAGCAAGATTCTACTATGAATTGTGAGACCCAGCGTTAAGTCCACTGTGAACAGTGATTTGTGCACAGCCTCAATGAGGAGAGCTCGTATGCTGTGATCACTGTGCTACCTTTTAAGCTAATAGAATGGTTTTAACATCAATACTCTGAGTAGCCATAGTTTCTCTTGGGTTAGAGGTCAGATGTTGTGATTTGTAAATAGGGATGGTGAGCAGTAGAAAGTAATTAACGCTACTTTTAAAATTGGCAGCATTTGAAAAACTAATTTATAAACCTACTTATGTGATGGGAAGGCTTAGTATCTGGGGTTTCCACCCCATCACCAAGGATACTTCTGTTAGCCTGCTGGTGTTAGGGTGGGAATTGAGCAAAATTATCTTAACCATAATGATAGAAATGGGCTGTTCGTGCACTGTCTCCTTTGTGTTCACTAAGATCTTCTGGGGTGGATGTTTCATCTTAAGCTTGTAATTTTTTTCTTGTAGACAATACATTGTTTCAGAAAAATGTGTCCTCATTTGAGCTCACAGAATTAGTTAATTTATGGGAGTGATACTATCACAGGCCATGTACCCTCATAAAGACTTACTTAGGGGGCAGCTCTAAGATGCTTTTGGAAGACGACGTTTTTTTTTCTTTTGTAGGCAAACAGAACACTGCTTCGTATATTCTCCAGGCACTGAGAAGTAACATGACTGAAGGCCCAGACAGTTCATCCTGTGATGATTCAAGGAAGATACAACATATTCTAGCCTACCAGCAGATCAGCTGTGTGGACAGTATCATCAGGTGGTAAACTTGCTCTAGAATTATTTTGGGGAAGTTCTACAGCCTGTGTTATGCAGAAGGTCAGACTAGATGGTCACAATGGTTTGTTCAGGCGTTTGAATCTATGAACATTATAGCATTCTGTTAGCACAGGAGAATCAAAAAGTGAAACTGTCAAGAAATGTAAAAGTCTTGTTTCACGGCCAAAGTACAGTGAATGTAAAAAGTAAACAGCATGAACAGTTAGTCACAATTATTTTTAAGTATTTAAACTTTTTTTTTCATATCAGTATCTTATACTACTACTAAGTGCCTGAGCAACCATCAAACAAAGATGAAAATTCTCTGACAAACTTGGAACTTTCCATTATAGAATTGACTAGTCTGTATCAGGCTAAAATATAGTTAATGCAAAACCCAATGTTAGTGATGCATGTAGGAGCCTGTCATATGCTTGATTTGGCCAGGATTATAAAAGGAAAAGGAAAGGTAGTGCAAAAGAGACCCATAGGGGAACGTTCCTTTCTGCTCCCAGCTGGCTGAAGCTGAACTGGCCTCTGGGGTGTATTTCCCAGTCGTTTGAGTTGATTTGTACTGGTTTTGAATTGGTGCTTTTGAGAATAAAGCCAGCCCTGAAGACGGGGATGTGAAGAGTTCAGCAGTTGGGACTTGGTTTTTCCTTCCCCTGCTAGTGGGTCTCCCCCCGGCTTACAGTTAGTTTGAAAAACCAAGCGCTCAGCTATTGGAATTGCTTGATGTTTAAGGTTGAATGCTCATCCTCTACTTGCTTCCTTGTGCATATGCATTCTGTATTGTGTATATCGTATTCATTGTCAAATAATACAAGATATAATTCAAACTGGAATCTCTTCTATAACCTTAGTACTGTGAACACTCTGTACTTAGCTGTATTACTGAAAATATGACTGCATCCTCTGCTAAATAGTCACCCTGATGTTACGCTTATGGTTCAGTATAGACTATAGTATATAAAATAATAAAATACTATCACCTTACTTCTGAGGTTGAGTTCATGTCTGTCTGAGCAAATGGAGTAGAAATTGCTTCCATGATTATAGCTTTATAGGAACTTCACTAGATGTGCACTTATGCTATAGATCTCTTGTGTTTGACCTTGCTTCCATTTATAAAGATGGACTGGCTGGTACAACCACAGATGATACAAGCTCAGATAGAGCTTGCACAGTTAGTTCCAGTGCAGGATGGACAGGAACCTAGTGCTGTCACTGTATCATTCCTGTGCACCTCAGTCTCCGTGGGTGGGATATCATTCACTCAGCTGCTGTTGTATGAATATACTTGAGTTGTGACTTATGTTGTTCTCTCTCCCTCTGCAATGTCACGTGAACCCACTCAGTAGCTCAGATGAGATTGTTTTCTGAATGATCATTCATTGAAAGGGGGAGCAAACCCCAGGATGCCAGGCCAAAGAGTTACTTGTTTTCCTTCTCTTTTGTAGAAGTGACTGCAATAGAAGATGCCACTGTGGAGCATGAACAAATTGAGCTGCCTCCTCTGAATGCTCAGAGTCCCACTGTGGTTCTTGAGGAATTTAAGCAAGTTGGACTAACAAAGGAGGTTTTGTCAGCCCACACTCTGAAAGAGGAGCAGAACTACATTGATGGGCTCCACCAGAGGATATTGTCATCTCTGTATAGGTCCTATCTCTATCAAGGGAGCAGAAGCAACAGTGGATTTTCCTATGGTCAAGGAAGGCACCAGTTGTTCTGTGTGGTAAATGAATTAGTAATTGAGTCTAGTTATGCATCTTGTGATCTAATCAATATCTTACTAGTCCTGCAAATCCGAGCAGGATGTTTTCTTCTAACTGCTGGGGCTTAATAGTAGTCACAGCACAGAAGTCTCTACCCAGTCCTAGATGCTGCTATCCTGGACTTGTATCAGGACATGTAACTCTTACAATAAACGCTGCAAAAGGCCACACAGCAGAGTAATGCCTCCTATTATTAGGACTCCAATACGCTGAAAGAATAGGTCGGGGTAAGCCTAGGAGAGCAGTCAGAGGGGCTGATGGGATATAGAAGAGGACTGTCTGGGCCTGCTAGCAAAAATTTTCCTACCCTGACTGGAGAAACTGTCCAGGGGCATATTCTGCTAAATTAACTCTCTGAATGTGTTGCATATTCTCCATTATTTCTCTGAAGGCCTGTCTCTGTCTCTCCATACCTGCTGCTTCAGTGAATGACTATTTTTCCTCCCTTTTAGGAGACTCCCCTTCAAAGCAGACCAGCCCAGTTAGCTGTAGAAGAGGCAAATGTGGGAAACTCAAGTGCCAGAAACCAGTAGAGCCCTCATACAGGCATTCATCTAATAGAAATGATCTTCCACACAAGAAGAGAACAGCTTCTGGGAAACAGTTCTGCTCTCCCTCTAAAGCAGTGGTTCCCAAACTTGTTCCACCGCTTGTACAGGGAAAGCCCCTGGTGAGGTGGGGCGGGCCGTTTTGTTTACCTGGCGCGTCCGCAGGTTCGGCCGATCGCGGCTCCCAGTGGCCGCGGTGCGCTGCTCCAGGCCAATGGGAGCTGCTGGAAGCGGCAGCCAGTACGTCCCTCGGCCCATGCCGCTTCTAGCAGCTCCCATTGGCCTGAAGCAGCGAACCGCAGCCACTGGGAGCCGCGATCGGCCGAACCTGCGGACGCGGCAGGTAAACAAACCGGCCCGCCCCGCCTCACCAGGGGCTTTCCCTGTACAAGCGGTGGAACAAGTTTGGGAACCACTGCTCTAAAGCATCACATCTGAAACCCTCCAGTGTGACCTTCCCTTCCCATCCATTCTTACCCAGTGTCTTGTTTTCCTATCCCCTTCATGACCCCTATAGGAGGTGATTGTGCCACCCACTCAGTAAGACCTGAGTCCATATCATCACATCTGCCCTACAACATGCAACCCCTTCCAGCCTTCCCTTTTCCATACATGGGCACATTTATGGCCATGTTCTTTCACAGTTTCCCCATGTAGACTCAGATACCTCAGCCTTTCTTTCTTGCTCAGTCTGCTTGTTCCTTCTCTTTAAATCCATGCTCTACAATGCCCCCAGGCCTTCTCTTCAGTATACCATCAAACCCTGTGGCGCAACCTTCTCCAATATCTACACCCATGTCTGTTGAAGAGCAGCAAGAGACCCAGAGTGACCAGCCACCACTGTTCAGTAGCTTCAGCTGAACCTGCTTCAAGAGGAGCTGCCAAACCTTTGGAACCTCCCAGTGGAGCTGGAGCTGATGTGGAAATTAAATGTGTAAGTAATGCCAGGTATTAAATGCAAACAAGGAGCCCTATAGGAAACCTGACTTTTGTGGGGTTTGATCAGCAAACACTGATACTGTTCTGTGTTCAAGCATCACAGCAGGTTTTTTATCACTGACTATATTTTGCAGAATGAAAGGTACAAATTGCTTTCAGGCTCTGACCAAAAAAGTAGTTTATATTCAAGTCCTTGGAACCTTCTTACAATACAATATTGGCAAGCTATAAATGTCACAAAACAGTGCCCTTCCAGTCCAGGCTACCATGGGTTGCTCTCTTAGGCAGTGGTGTTTTAGTTCATGCTGTCTACCAGGAATGTTGGGTGGGCTTTCTGCATGTGGAACCTGGCTAGGGCTGCACAACTCACTTACTCTCTGAACCAGTCCCTCAGGCTTTGTGGAAAGCCAAAACAAAGGGAAGACATCATTTTAATTAATTACCCCCTCTGTCGTCCAGGGATGCAGCTAATGAACAAAGAACAGGGAATCCATGTGGGTCGGTTTCCATATGGGGCATAGAAAAAGCCTCTCTCCAACTTCCGCTGTATACTCAGAGGCAGGAATCTGAGCTCTGTAGGCAAGGAAAAAGTGTTGGCTCCTGAATCCAGATTGGGCTTTAACCACTGAATCTTTGCTGGGTAGGGCCCTGAAGGGGAGTGACATAGCCATGGCTGCAGAAGCTGAGAGTTTCACATAGTGAATCGGGGGACAAGAATACTTAAGTTTCCTTGTAGTATACCATTATGCTTGCTTGATATCCATGGCTGTGTTGACACAGCATAAAGAAGCAACTAACTGATTTTTGCTGTCTTGTCAGCAGAAAATCTTGAGTTTACAGCAAAATTACAGTATCTTGAAATAAATCTGATAAAAAGGGTCCGCAGCAGAAACCAGTATGATGAAAGCCCAGAGGGTTGCTGGCTTTACCGTGAGTGTTTATCCTGAGCTTCAGGGGCAGTGATTTATTTTCAGACCTGTAAACTCCATATTAATCTGCTGAATTGATGTAGGAACTACTAGCACTTGTATTGCACTGCCCACCAAAATCAGAAACTCCCCTTTTCAATCATGAAGGTAACTTCTGTGGATAGATTGTTACATTCTCTTTCCAGGGCATTGATCTGGAGAATAGTGAAAGCCACTCTGTTTCCAGTGAACTGTTTGACCTTTTATTGTGTGAGGGCTCTCAGATGAGTACAAGTTCAGCAACATCAGGCAATGAATCAGTTGAATCTAGCTCTATAGGCTCTTGTTCCAATGGTTCTAGCACCAATGAGGTTTCTCCTTGTGGCACAGGTAGGGAAGCTTTGGGATTGGGGTGCCATTGCTTAAGTCAGAGGTCCCTAAACTGTGGGGCGCACCCCCATAGGGGGGCACAGAGGAACTTTCGGGGGGGCCCAGCTGGGGCCTGGGCCAGCCCCCAGGAGGGGTGGGGAGGGGGCACCACCCAGCTACACTCCTGGCTGCTGACTCAGCGCTCCGTGCCCGGGAACCCAGCTGCCAGCCCAGGGGACCGGATGAGGCTCCGCCCCAGCTGTGGCCCCAGCCTCAGCCCCCTTACCCCTGTCTGTGTCCCCTCCTTCACAGAGCCACAGCCCTGGCTCGGGCAGGGGGGGCACAGACAGGTGGGGGGGGCACAAGGTAAAAAGTTTGGGGACCACGGGCTTAAGTCATGGATGGCGTATTGTAGTACTGAACCTATTAGCTGTTTACAGCTAGAGGTTATGGTGGGTGTGGGAACTCGCCACTAAAAGGGGTGGTGGTTGTTTTTTTAAACCAGTTGTCAAAGTTAATTATTTGGGGGCAATTATTACTCAATGTGCTTTAGACAGGGCCGGCTCCAGGGTTTTGGCCGCCCCAAGCAGCCAAAAAAAAAAAAAAAAAGCCGCGATCACGATTTGCGGCGGCAATTTGGCAGGAGGTCCTTCGCTCCGAGCGGGAGTGAGGGACCGTTCGCCGAATTGCCACCGAATAGCTGGATGTGCCGCCCCACTCCGGAGTGGCCGCCCCAAGCACCTGCTTGACAAGCTGGTGCCTGGAGCCGGCCCTGGCTTTAGAGTTAAACAAAACAGGAATCTGAAATATCTCTATTTTTGCTTGTACATCAAGCCTTTCCATGCTGTTTTGTTGTGTTTGGTTCCACACATTGTTCATAGTCTGCATCCCACTTGACCCAGGGTGAGGCTGATGAGAGGAGGGTCTCTTCAAACAGTCACTGGGAAAATAGGACAAACTCATTTTGAAGAAGGGAAGGAGTTGTGTGAGGTGTGGATTGTGTGTTTGGGGGAATCTTGAGGTGCTCAGTAGAAGTAGAGTTATACTTTGGGTTCCTAAGAGTCAGCAGCAGCTTGTAATCTCTTGCCATAAGGATCATCTGAACAGTTACCTGCGGTCCAAGTGTAGAATCAGCCCACAAGGGGCTTGCAAGTTAATTCACTGCCTGTGCTGGACTTTGAGAGATTTTTACAGGAAACTGTTGACTTAATTTTCTGCAATAATTCTCAGCAGGCAGTCAGTGTGAGTCAGTCTGGAGGATGATGGATCGTACACCTGAGCCTGTACTAATGACATATCAAGTACCTGACAGGTGAGGAAATAGTAACATTTTTCTAACACTGTGTTCAGAATTATGCATAGAAGAATTATAGAATTAGAAATGAGGCTATAGGAACTCTACAGGCTTCATCCAAGAAGACAGCCTGAGCTGTCCCTGTTGTTCTGTATGGTTTAAAAAAAAGGGAGGCTTGGGGGGGATCCCAAGTTGTCCTAGAGGTTGGAGCCAGAAAAGCAATCCTTTGAATCCTGTAGCCTTTCATGCTGCATGTCATTCCCATTAGTATGATCTAATATCTCCTGAATCTTCCAAGGATGGCCTGTTGCTTACAACTAAAGATGCACAAACCCATGTATTGTAAGACACAAAAGGAGAAAATTTCCCACATTAAAGTGAATCTAAACTGCTTCAGCTCACTAAACTGCTTCCCTCACAAGGCTAGTTTTTCTCCTGGGTGCTGTAGTCTCCAGGATTTTGGATCCATGAAGAAAGGGACAATTAGAGTTGGCTTTTGGTGGGTTATGCAAGTTTAGGGTGCCATCTCCAGAGAATCACAGTCATGTTCTCCTTTGGCGTTATCATAATCATTTTAAACACCTAGAACCTAACGACTGTCATTTTGATCATCCCTTCCATACAGAGCACTCTTCACTTATGTACAATAAAGATTTTGAATGTAACCCAATTTCCAAGCCTGCTACATTTCTGTTGTGTTTCCACCTTGATTTTCTAAGAGAATTAAGTGGGCACTGCCAGATTTTAAAAACCAGATTTAATTATTGCTGTTTTCAATAACACATGAGATTATTAAAATAAAGAATTTTAGAATCTTAATTTACTGTTCACCCTTTATGCTGTTTAATTTTAGCTTTTCTCCCATCTAAAATGACCCTGACCCCCTACAAAGACTTAGGTACCTGCTTACTGATCAGGGCCTAAATTAGCAAGAGGTGACAGACCGGATGAGGAAGTAGGTATAAGGAGAACCAAGACCACAACAGTTAGTCTTGTTGTTTGCAGGGAGGGAAAACTCAGATATTGAAATTCAGTGATTTACTCAAGGCTACAGTTTCACTGGCAGAACCATGATTAGAACTAAAACATACCTGGCTTCCAAGCTCCATACTCAGTCGACTTAAACCACACTGCTTCACTGTGGAATGTCTTACCACCTATGCAGAAAGCACATATGAAAACCTTTATTTCTCTTACTTTCAGGAGTTAATATTTTCCCTTGGTTTAGATTAATGTTTCTACTTTTGTCCATAGTTTGCCTGTGTGTCCTAAGCTGAGATCCAGTTCTGATATGAAAGGTAGGCAGAGTATATTTTGTAGCCATATTTGCACACTCTGTGGCTTCATCAAACTGGAAATTTGGTTGGTGGAGCTTATGAATCTTTGTTACATGCAAAACTGGATGTTAAACTCTTGTGTTTATGCTAATATTTGCCCAACATTGCTATAAATGGAAGGTACCCCAGTGGTGTTTCTGTGACGTAGTGAGAATTCATCAAAAGGAGAAAGGTGCTTTGCCTGTGGGGTAACTCC